GTGTCCTTCCTCCCAACATTTTTATTTTATTCCCCCTTCCCTAGCAAAAAATCTTGCCACTAAATATTCATCTTTCCTTTGCTGTTTCCTTGGTGCTTGATACTTACTGTCTAAACATCCCTCATTAATATAAGACAGTATAAATTGGTACATTATAGCAAACTTTTCCAGGTACTGCTTCAGAAACAATCACAGAAGCTTTTTAAATAAAAAACTTAACCAAAGTGATCTGTTTCTAAGACTGAGTATAAATACCACATGTTGCTTCCATGAAACCATTCATTCCTCTTTGAAAAGTAAAAATGAGAATTAAAGTCTCTTATTTATTCCAGATGGTCCAAACCCATGATGATAAATTGTACAGCCAGTGACCGATACGAAATATTTCAGATAAATATAATTGCTTTCTAGAAAAGGAAACTATATTATACACGAAAGAATTTCTTTAATTAAAAGAAAAGCTGTCATAAACCTAACAGGTAGAATATACCAACCAAAATGTAAACTGAGATTTTAGTCCCACTTATATATCAGAGAACATATAAAATAATCCTAAAAATTAACACTTTATTCACTTGAAATTTATGAGAAGACATATGTGTAGTAGACAACTTACAGCAGCGGTTCTCAATCTGTGGGTCGCGACCCCTTGGCGGTCGAACGACCCTTTCACAGGGGTCGCCTAAGACCATCCTGCATATTAGATATTTACATTACGATTCATAACAGTAGCAACATTACAGTTATGAAGTAGCAACGAAAATAATTTTATCGTTGGGTCACAACATGAGGAAATGTATTTAAAGGGCCAGAAGGTTGAGAACTACTGTTTTACAGCCTTTAGCTCTGTGTATTTCCAACCTTTCTAAAAATTACACAAATTCAATTTCACATACACATAGATTACATGAAAATACCCACTACTCAATAGAAGGAAAATAACAAATCTTGATGCTGTTTATACCAAGATTTACTAAATAACACTCTTTAGAATAAAGAATATAATTTAATTTTCAACTACTCTAAATTGATATATGCTAGCTTCACTATAACCTAAAACAGAGATTTATACTGAGATGGGCAGGAGGGATTTTCTCAACCCACCCCCAGAAGACATGTGGCAAGTCTTCAGACATTTTTGGTTTTCACAACGTTGGTGGCAGTTGGCAGTGGCTTGAGACTGATGCACTGTGGGCATCTAGTGAGTCAAGGGATGCTGCTATATATTGTACAATGCTTAGGACAGCCCTTCACAACCAAAAGTTATCCAGCCTCAAATGGTTGAGAAACACTGTTCTACAGAGAAATAAAATGAAAAAGACAAGGAATAACAAGGAATCACCAGCAGGCACTGTCTGCTGAGCTCTTCCTGGCAGTGAAGGAGCCACCACCTACCTTGGATGCCTGTGGCGTGGATATCACGTGGACCGTGCTGGGTTTGACTCCATTAGCTTTGGGTCGTTTATAGAGGGCAAATCTACTTTTCCTCCGGCCTCTGTCTCCATTAGGTAAAGCACCATTGTATCTATAAACAAAGATGAAAGAGTTCACTTATTTAAGTTTTTTTTTAAAGTTTTAAGAAGGAAAGTTAGATGGAATAAGGGAAAAGATAGGAATGGTCATAAAGAATTGCCCACTAAATACCCCACAAAAGGAAATGGCTGCAAACAGACATCAGCTATAATGAAATTCAAATCACTTCCAGAAACTTAATTTAGGAGTGATGTACAATGTAATTATAGGTTTTCTATTCTATAAAGTCAGACTCTTCAAATCTTTTTGTAAGGAGACAGAGTATAAATAAGCAAATGAGAATTCTAAAGAGACTGTATTAGTGCTGGCTCAATTCAGCCAGCATCGTTGAATGGACCCCAGAGAAACACTCAAGAAATATTTCTAAATGAACTAGTTACAAAATAGCATACTAATTAAACCTCACCTCTCACTCCCAAAACATGTTAATGTCTGTAGGATCTTTATTTGTAAGAAGACCAAATTTAATTACTTGCATTCTTGTAAGTTCTAAATTCTCTACCCTCATTCCCATTTCTAGTTGAACCTTATGCTGTCAGGTTATCCAAGAAATAGCTTGCAAAAATTAAACATAAGGCCCATAAAGTGATCCAAAGTAAAAAAAGATGAGTTTTAGTCCACAAACTGCCCAATAACTTTAAAAGTCACCTGGAAAACATCTGATGTCCTTAAGCAGATTTCCTGTATTAACTAGAGGCCTGGTGCACGAAAATCTGTGCACTCAGCAGGGGAGGGGGTCCCTCAGCATGGCCTGCACCCTCTCATAGTCTGGGAGCCCTCAGGGGGTGCCCTACTGATGGCTTAGGCCCACCTCTGTAGGAGGCAACCAGGCGGGCCAATCAGTGGACAGCGCTGCCCCAATCACCCCACCGCTGCCGGCCTCCCTCTGTGGGAGGTGACCGAGTGGCTGACCAGGGGATGACACCGGAAGGCACAGCCCCGCCTCACCCCCCCATCACCCCACCACCACCACTGGTAGCTGCCGTCTCCCCCTCCTTCGCCACCCTCCCTCTTCCTGCTGGCACAGGCCTTGGCTGGCCTGGTGCCACCTGCTCACCGGCCCCACCCCTCACCGACTGGTCATTCTGCTGTTTGGTCAATTTGCATATTACGCTTTTATCATACAGGACTAGAGGCCCAGTGCACGAAATTCGTGCATGGAGTGGGGGGGGCGGTCCCTCAGCCTGCCCTGCACCCTCTCCAATCCAGGACCCCTCGGGGATTGTCTCACTGCCGGTTTAGGCATCGGGCCTAAACAGGCAATCAAACAACCCTCTCGCAATCCGGAACCGCTGGCTCATAACCACTCATGTTCCTGCCTGCCTGCCTGCCTGATCACCCCTAAGCACTCTGCCTGCCAGCCTGATCACCCCTAACCCCTCTGCCTGCTGACCTGATTACCCCTAACTGCCCTCCGCTGCCAGCCTGATCGCCCCTAATTGCTCCCCTGCTGGCCTGATCGCCCCTAACCACCACTGCCTCAGCCCCCACAATTGTGGCTTTGTCCGGAGGGAGGACTGGATGACCGGAAGATGTCTGGTTGACCCGTTCTAATCAGCATATTACCCTTTTATTAGTATAGATTCCTTAAGATAATACCAGTGTTTAAAATAAATGCAGAATTGCCCAGCAAGCATGGCTCAGTGGTTGAGCATCGACCTATAAACCAGGAGGTCATGGGTTTGATTCCTGGTGAGGGCACATGCCCAGGTTGTGGGCTTAATCCCTGGCAGGGGGCTTGCAGGAGACAGCTAATCAGTGATTCTCTCTCATCATTGATGTTTCTATCTCTCCCTCTCCCTTCCTCTCTGAAATCAATAAAAATATGTTTAAAAAAAAAAAAAGACAGCAGCCAACACAATAACTGTCTGGTGTGCGTAAATCAAAATAAAAAAAATAAATAAATGCAGGATTGCAGGCAGCATTTCTGTTTTCAACTGTATTTTCTAACTCTAAATTAACCGGCCTATGGATGAGGACAGTGGGGGGCAGGGGGGAGTAAGGGTAGGGGGTGGGG